TCCTGCTGTAGGATCATGGGAGAAATGAAAAGACTTTTAGTGGCTGAGCTGAGTGGAACTGGATAGTTATGTCAAATAGACAGGGTTTAAACACAGGTCTATAGCTAATAGAGGAAAACAAAGAGGCTTGGGTGTAACCAGCACATATTAGCCTTCAAATAACAAGGCACACAGAGGCAAAAGCGACAGCTCCTTGCATTTACCTCCCAGAAAATCTAGGAAGGTTTCCCTTAATGCCTCTCCCTTTGTCATCAGGTTGACATGTGCTCTCCAGCAGCAGGTCAGGCCCAGAGCAGCACGGCAGAGGCTTCTGTTGGTCAGCGGCTAACGCCCATCAGCCACACAGGCACCCGATGTGCAGACAAGGGGCAGTGGCAGGGATGATATAAACCAGCTAAGTCTGTGGAGCAACGTGAATTGACACCAGTGCAAAATCTAGCCCCTGTGCCTCGAAAGAAAAACCCAGTTTTCTACGTGCTTGCACACGTCATAGGAACACCCTCCCTGTAGTCAATACTGCAGCCAGAAATCACACTCCTGCCTGGAAGCTGGTGCACCCTGGCCAATGTGCAGGGGGAAAGTGGAGGTATTGTTATCCCAGACGACAACTTGTTCCTGGTGGGCAGCAAGTGACAGTTATTTACTGAAGCAGAAAACTCAAACTATCATCTCAGCCACAGGGTTCAGACAAAGAATGAATGAATGAATGCAGAGCTCACCGATAAATGATGCCTCTTTCATGGAGAAACATAAGGGCGGAAATAATTTCTGCAGCATAGAACCGGGCACGATCTTCATCGAAGCGACGCGACTTCTGAATATGGAACATCAAGTCCCCGCCATTTACGAACTCCATCACAAAGAACAGGCGATCCTTCACACACGCAAACACAACAGATATGAACAGCATTAATCATATCCTCTGTCAGGCTTAGAAAATTCCAAATAAAACTATTATCTCCCAAACAAAAACAGATTAAGCACCCATGACGTAGGGGTTGGGTTAAACAAAAAAACCCTGACTTTTTCAGGAAAGATTAAGTCAATACCAGGAAGATCTGTTAGTACCTCCTTACCCTGCACTCCCCCCCAAAAAAATTGCCCCCAGCAATGAAATGAATTCCTGTTCAGATACAGATTAGGCATACCAGTAGGTGCATGTTCATCACTAACTGTCTCCTGGATTGTTTCTCAAACTGTCCTTAGCCTGAATCAGCAGAGGATGATGCTCCTTAGTAAGCACAAGAGAAATAAGTAAAAGGCTGCTCGCTCTATATTAAACACCACAGCACTATGGGGAAAGATGCTCCATAATATAATGAGCATAACCAGACTGCTCACAGACTGCAGCTTCAACATGACAGCACAAGGGCTCAGGAACAGCACTGACAACGTTGTTTTGAGAGTATCCCAACACTATTCCTGGGGAATGTGTGTTGTATTCCAGAATGGGGTTTCCCGCCATACACTTGCGTAGCAGCTGCCTTTTGGGCCCTCAGATTTCAGCTTTCCTCTGATTAACCTGCAGAGACCTCTGGGTGATGAAGGAACTGATAAGGACAGAGCACAAACCAAAGTTTCTGCTGGGCAGAAAAGCAACCTGTTCAATAAAGTTCAGCTCACTAACCACAGCTGCTGGTCTCTGAGGTTTCTTTTTTGGCTTTGCTCTGGTTTTTGTGAACGTCTACAGATAGGGAGGCACTTGCTTCCGCTGCACGCTCAACAGTTTGGGTATAGGTTTAATGCGTGCAAAAGGAGTGCTCACTTAATTGTGAATGGAAGGGCACACAGTGATTTGTCACAAAACTAAACCCTAGAATTGTTGCAGTCCGGTTCATAAATTTCCCCTAGTAATTGTTTCAGGACATTCAGTAATGATTGTTTCAGTTTTACTCTGAATATCGGGAACAAGTGGACTGGAAAAAAAGAGGCATACAATTCAGCTGAGATCAGTCAGCCTTTTAATGGCACTATTTGCCCTTCTTTCCCCACAAGCCCCTTCTCAGGTCCGATGTTAATCATCTACAAGCTAGTTTTAAACCCTCTCTGAGTTTAAGAGGATAAGCATTGTTACGCTCCACTTTCTGGCAGCCAGCCAGGTTGAAATGACTACTGGTATTAACATCTTGAGATGCACGCAGCAGAAGAAAAGCAACCAGGAATCCTTTCATTCCTCTCTGGACACAAGCAGGAAAGCAAACAGCCCATGACAGATGAGGACAGCTTGCTTCTCATTGCCATTCTGGGCTCTGCTCAACAGCTCCTTCTGGGCTCCTTCCAGAAGCTAAGATAGATGTGTTTCCAGCAATCTCGCAATACTACTGCATGTAGCACCGAGGCTATGTGTTAAGTGCTATCTCCAGTCCGTATAAACAACAATACTTCATTGTTTCACTCTGCCCTTATTATATGGCTGCTGAAAGACACTCAAGCTGGCTCGTCTATAGCAGCAGTCTAAGCCAGCAGCACTAACTGCGCAAACCCACCATCAACCTTGGCTCTTCAGCCCACATCAGATCTCTAATGCCACCATCTTCACTGCAGTTGGTTAACCTGAGTCTAGCGATACTGTGCCTACACACAACACGGCAAGACTTCCTCCAGCTGCAGCACAGATATCACCTCTGCCTTGCCAGTCAGGCCAGCTTTTACATCTCCTTGTTATTCTTTCCTGCCTCCTTCCTCGCTGATCTCTCCAAATGCCACATGCTTATCTAGCCCAGCTTCTCCAGGCATCTCTTCAAGCCCCTACTTAAAAAGAGAAATCCCTCTTGCCAGATCTCCAACAGGAAGTAATTTAATTTACCAGCAACCTGATGAGGGATATGTGTGTGTGTATTTATGTAAGTAATATATATGCTTGTATAAACATGCATACAGTCAGGTGAACATGCATATATTTTCTACTTTTTCCTTATAGGTGAGCTTCAGGGAAACAAAGTTAACTCTTCCTATCTTAAAACATACACGTCCTGCTTCTGCAGCACTGGCAAAACTCCATGGCCCATCTGGATGTACTCATCTGTACTGTGATGCTTAAAGGAAGATACTACACTAATTCTTTCTCAATTGCCCAGGTGAACACAGAAACAGCCGGTTTTAAAAATCACATCACCGCTGACATGGAATTAGCATCTTTTTGTTACAAACAGCTCTTGCTTCAGACTTACTGCAAACCTGAGCAAGTATCATTGCATGCGTTACATGTTGCTCACAAGTGTAACGACTAACGCCTCACCTCCACCCATGGTCTCATTTCACAGGTCAAGCATAAATATGGATTATTTAATTACCAAAGTTCTCCCATTTAGGGGTCACCCATTTTTTTTTTATATATATTTTTAAAAAGAGGTCCAGCTAATTGTCCGATTTTCTAACACTTCGAAATCCCATGAAGTTGCTGAAGGAAAGAGCAGGATGGGTATTGCAACCCGTTTATAATACAACATTTGAGCATTGGCCTGTTACGTACCTGGCAACAATATTAGAAAAATCAACACTAATGACCACCCTTTGAAGACCAAGATCCAAGAGCTAAGCAAGGTCTTCCATTTTTACTCTTAAGTAATGGCACCAGCTTGCCAAACTGCAAAGACCAGCCACTCTCCCAGGAATCATTGAGAAATAAAACAAACAGTGGTATTTTATTAAAAAAGAAAAAAAAAGCACAATTTGTAGCAGGCAGGGTAAGAGTGAATAAATACCTTAAATAGCGGCCAGGAAAAGGAAAACTTAAAACAACAGCTAGTTCAGATATTTGCAAATTTGACCTAACTTAGAGTTATGTGACTCCTTTCTTGGGGTCCACCAGCGAGAACTGGGAGGAGTTGAAAGCTGGAGTGTTTCTTCACAGGACTTAATGTCAAAATCCTCACCTCACTTTTTTTTTTCCCCCCTCTATTTTGCATTGCTCAGAAGTCTTCCCTAATCTGCTATCTCTGTTTGACGTCTGCAAAAGTAAGAAAAAAGCATTTGAGTCAACAGGAAACAGTGACGCGAAAACCTTCACAGCAGCGGCAGCCGCATGAGGAAATCACGTTGCACCATTTCTGGACTGGGATCGAGATGAATAAGGCCACAAAGCAATTGTTACTGTAAATTAAAGAAACACTTAGAGGAAACAAATAAAGTCTGTGGGATCAGGTGGGCTCATTTCAAGGCTGGCCTACATCTAGAGATTTGCCCTGCCAATTTCAGTGCAAGAGAGCTGTTTGGGATTTTTTTGCTTGTTTAAATTTCAGTGTGCCATCTGTATTTGTTCACCTATTAGCAGGGCAAGGGCTGCTGGTAGCACATACTATGTCCTAAGGACAGTTGTTTGTTGTCTTAGCGGGGTGTTGGTTGGGCTTGAAGAGAGTCCCTGATTGCAAAAGCCACTGGGTGGGACAATCCACATATTGGTTACTGCCCCTTGCAAACACAAGCACCCACTGAAATCCAACTCAAACATCGTTTTAGCCCTCTGTCCTCACCAGCTCTACTAGAAAGCTGTTTTGAACCCTCATACCTTTCCTCTTCATCATTACAGGAGGGGGGAACACAGATTTTATTAAAAGACCATCCTTTCTCTCCCTATGCCCAAGAAAGGCCAGTGTGATGGCTAATTTCCACCTCCTTCCATTTAAGAGTCATAGCTGACGTCCATGTACAACCCACACAAGACCAAAGACCTCTGAAGACAGCTACAGTGAGAGGCTTATCTCTGATCACAGGCTTTCATGCTAAGTAAATTGGACAGGGCAGCACCACTGCCCCGCTTCAGGCAGCGTAGGGGGAGGAGATGGGGGAAAGACAAGCATTTCCTACATGCAGACATGGAAGAAAATAATAGCAAAGCTACCTCCTCTATCTGCCACCCTACAAGAGCTGCTGTGCCAAGGGAAGTGTGGAGGCCAGAGGGGACTTCTCTCAAGAGTCATCGGCGGAGGTTCAGGAGACACACTGGAAAACACCAACAGGGCCTCTCCAGCTTCCAGAGCCACCAGGAATAGACTTGAACAAGCTCTGCACATCCCCATTGCAGCAGAGCTCTCCCAGATGCTGCTTCTGCCCACGCTGATTCCTCTGCAGGACAAGGGGACAAGCCACCCCACCAAAGATGCATCCCAGCAGTAATTCCATCCAAGCCTCCTCTTTAGCTGACAGCTGCCATGTAAGGCAGCATCTGGAGGATATGGAGACCTGCTTAAATCCCATTTAGAGCAATGGTCCAATTCCAACCCCACCTCAAAAAAAAAAAAAGAAAGAAAAAAAAAAAAGTCGGCCTGGCCTAGGAATTCCGCTAAGTTTGCATTTCATCTTTGTGGAAATAATTCATGCACACAACTCCTTAGAAAATCAGCTTTGGGCTCAATCTGAGTTCACTGATGCCAAAGGGTTTCCCCAAGCCATTTATTAGGGTTTTGGCAGCTTATGCTTTGCAGGGAAGAAGGCAGGCTTTCAAAGTTACCTCCACACAGAGAGAGCTGTGTCACTTCTGCCCGGCAAAAGTTTATTGTTTCCAAAAAGAGTAGCAGGGCTTAGGGAGCTTGCAAGCAAATTATTACAAGGTAATTAGAAGCGCAGGCAGGCTCCCTCAGCGCTCCCAATGTTCCTGTTCGTAGTCCACAACCCCCACACAAAGCAATCTGCCTGACGTCTTGCTGGGAGCATGCAAATAAACCATGCTGTCTCGGTACCGGGCTTCAGAAAGCCACATGTCCAGCTCCCCCAGCAGCACGAGTGGCCATCTGTATCTGGGTCAAGGCACTGCAAAGCACAGGACCCAGAGGAGGAATAATAAACGGGTTTGTTTCTCAATATTTATCTTCATAGGAATAACACAACCATGAACCACGCTCAGATGCTGCTCTGTGCAGATGTGCCTCCCCCCTA